TTGATTCAGTTTAATCGTGAGTTAGTAATTCAGATACAGTTTAGTCGTTAGTTAGTGATTTTGATTAAGTTTAGTCGTTGTTTAGTGATTTTGATTCAGTTTAATCGCGAGTTAGTAATTCAGATACAGTTTAGTCGTTAGTTAGTGATTTTAATTCAGTTTAATCGCGAGTTAGTAATTCAGATACAGTTTAGTCGTTAGTTAGTGATTTTAATTCAGTTTAATCGTAAGTTAGTAATTCAGATACAGTTTAATCGTAACTTATTGATAACTATGAAATTCAATCGTGAGTTAATAATTTAGAGGGGCATACTTAGTTCAGTCGTGAGTTGTGAGATATCCTATAGCAGCAATAGTGATACTGACTAACTCAACATTGGTCTAAATTTTCTAACATAAATTTTAAAAACTCTTATCTTTGTAATAGCTTTATCAGAATTTAAGCTCGCATCGCTCTGACTAATTATAATAGCAGTTATAAATACGTCTAAAATTAATACGTGGGCTGAGCGTGGCTTAGTGGTTAGCGCTCTAGACATTGAATCCAAAATTCCATAGTTAGCGCCCTGTTACCGTAAGATCTCCGTCAATGCGTTATGAGTGACGGTCAAATCTCACTACTCGGTCACAGTACTCTAATAGTTGGTAGTGAGTACTGTTTTTCCCTCTCTCTAGTCTCTAGTCTAACAATTCAAAATTGAGGACGATTAGTGCAGATAGGCTGAGACAGCCCTTGTGTAGTTTTGTGCGAATATCCGAAAAGAAACAAGTATTTAAGGCAATTTTTCTCTCAAAACCAATTGTTTGTAAAAATGTAAGATCTCTTGATCCTGTTTAGCGAGTACCTGAGTTTCAGGGTCCTCCAGGTTTGGTCTGAAATATTCTGTCCTTAGTGCAGGTTTTTTAGGAGATTGTGTAACCGTATTTGAAGCCAAAGGCTTAGGGTGGCTCTTTTTCTTCTTCTTCATTTCTTTTTCTGTTTCACAAATCTGGCGAAGACAAAACAAAACTGCCATTATGTCAACGTTAACTTTACTCCATGCAAACATTATCTGTTACAACTGTCACAATATTTTACTCTATTATTTACATTATTCATAACTGGAAGTATGTTTTGCTGTATTTATTTATGTTGGTCATAGCTGTTACTGAACACGTTGTACTGTATTATTTACTTCAGTCATAGCTGTCACTGGCTACGTTCTGCTGTATTTATTTATGTTGGTCATAGCTGTTACTGAACACGTTGTACTGTATTATTTACTTCAGTCATAGCTGTCACTGGCTACGTTCTGCTGTATTTATTTATGTTGGTCATAGCTGTTACTGAACACGTTGTACTGTATTATTTACTTCAGCCATAGCTGTCACTGGCTACGTTCTGCAGTGTTATTTACAATTGCCATAACTGTTGCTGACCATGTTTTGTTGTATTATATATATCTAGCCATAGATGTCAGATTTTGTTTTACTACCAGAACGTCGGACCTTATCGTGAAAAACAGCCCTGCTAAAAAGACAACAGATCTACAGCAAGTGA